GGGCAGCCCATGCGTTGTTGTTAGTAAGTGTTGTCAAGTCGGTTCCGACCCGAGCAACCCTGTATGGGGTTTACAAGGAGTGGCTAGTTAAGTTTCAACCACCAACCTTGTGGTCCAGTGCTTATCCTACAGCGCCACACCAAGATTCCCATGTTTTTGTTACGAAGTGCTATAATGTCGGTTCTGACCCACAGAGACCCGGTATAGGGTTTCCAAGAGTGGCTAGTGAGCTTGAACCACTGACCTTGCCGTCTAGCACATTAATCCGCAGTGCCGCAACAGGACTCCTGTGGTGTGGTGGTGGAGGTGGTGGTGGTGGTGTGCCATGGAGTCGGTTCCGATTCATAGTGACGTTGCATAGGGTTTCCAAGGCTATAAATCTTTACGGGAGCAGAAAACCTCCTCTTTCTCCCACAGAACAGCTGGTAGTTTCGAACTGCTGACTTTGAGGTTAGCAGCCTGACTGATAACCACTTTGCTACCAGTGTTGTCATTGTTAAGGGCTGTCGAGTTGGTGCCGACCCATAGCGACCTGTATAGGGTTTCCAAGAAGCAAGCTCGTGAGCTTGAACTGCCGACCTTGCAGTTCAAACAACTTCGCAGTCCAGCGCATTAACCCACAGCGCCACACGGGGCGCTTAGTAAATGCTGTTGCTGGAGCCACATCCCCAGAGCACTGGCCGGCTTGGTTGGTCCTCCACAGAACCCGCTGCAAAGGTCAGAGGGCTGTGCTCCTGCTGACGAGAAAGGAAGTGATCTGTGGCAGCAAACTTAAGTAGGAACTCAGCCCGCCTGCTCTCCGGACGGGGCTCTGCGGACTAGCCCATCATGCAGAGTGAGGGGAGGGGGCTGCTGGGGGTAGCAAGGGGCCTCGGGTGAGCCTCTGCCACTCGTCCTGCCGGGCCAGTGCATCCTGGAAGGGAGGAGTCTAACAGCAGCCAGCTGCTGAACTTGTTTATTCTGCTACCGGCCACACACCACTCCCGAGCCTGCAGGACTGGAGAGCCCTCCGCTCAGAACTGTGTGGTGGTCAAACTGGCCTAGGGCTGCCCATGAAGGTAGGTGTTCCCTTCTCCCACTGCTGGAGTGCCCGGGGACGGAGCACTTCCCTCCCAGGACAGGGAAGGGGCCGGAAGAGAGACATTCTGTTCCCTCAGGGTCAGTGTGTGTGGGTTCATACCTCCAGAGAAAGCCCAGGAGCCCGCCCTCCTGAAGAGTAGGTAAGGAGGCAGAGAGGCCTTGAGCCTTGGGCTTGGGTGCTGTGCCAGGAGAAAGGAAGCAGCAGGGGGCCATCAGCAGGTGAGCTCGGTCACCCTAGAACTTGTGGCTTTCACTCTGATTCCTGATCATATAAAGTCAAGCTAAGGTGCTCCAGGTAGTGCGACGGACAAATGTCCTGTTTGTCATAGTAAAGAGAACATTTGGACTGCTGAGTTGTGAGGTTCAGCAGTGGAATTCTCCCCTCTCGTGCGGGACACCTTGGTTCAATCCCTGGTCAGTGTGCCTCACACACAACCACCACCGTCTGTCAGTGAAACTTCCAGCCCAAGACAGAGTAGGAAGAAAGACCTGGTGATCTGCTTCTGAAAATTTGCCTATGAAACCCTCCGGAGTCCAGCATCTGATCCCTATTTGATCATGGGGACAGCACAGGATGGGCAGAATTTGTTCACGATGTGTGTGGGATTGATAAGCCAGGGTCCTCCATGTCAGTAGCTCACTAGGGTGTTGAAGGCTGTGAGCTGGGGGAAGGTCCCCAGCCAGGCTCCCCTCTTCTAGGCCCGACCACCTATTCCATCTCTCACGAGACTTCAGTGGTTTCTTTTTGTCATTTGTTGTTCATATGGCTCAGTGGGTTATGCACTGAACTGTTAGCCAAAGGTCCGCGGTTCTAGCCCACCAGTCACTCCTTAGGACCAAGATGAGGCTTTCTGCTCCCGTAAAGATTTACAGCCTCAGAAACCCTGTACAGGGTCACTGTGAGTCAGACCCGACTCCATGGCAGCAGGTTTGGTTTGATTTGTTGGATTTGGGTTTTTTTAAACAAAATAAAAGGAATTTCTGGAGAAACTCAAGGAGCAATGACGATCAAGGCCAACTTTGATCCCAAGGGGAATGATTCTTGGTGGTGAAGTGAAAGGAATTTTCTGGAAGGCAGAATTCTGCTACCCTGACAACTCTCCTGTTTGGTGACTGAGGGGGTCTCAGGTGTTTCTGCGGTGCCGCTGCATCTTGGGGGGTCAGACAAGACTGACCATTACTTCACATCTACTCCTTTGCCTTTTCAATATATTGTCCACTTCTGAAATCTTAATATTTTCTGGATTTCTAACTGCAGGTTTTGTATTATTTCCAAATGCACATTATTTTGTCTGTTTGTTCTTGTGTTTTCTTGAAGTCTTCTAAAGTTCCATCTGTGTTCTCCTTGCTTTCCTGGATCTTTCCACTGAACTTCTGAAGGTCCCTAATTGTCATTCTTTTGAATAACTGTTCATGTGGTTCCATTACATCTCCTCCCTCAGAATTGTTCTGACCCTGCATCTTGGTCATTTGTTTGAACCATTCTCTGTTGTTTCTTCATGTGAGCTGAAATTGTCTGTTATCTTCTGGGCATTGTGGAGTTGTTATAGTTGTAAAAACGAACTATGCAGTTGTTGGAGCCGGAGGAGAGAAATCTCTGGGGGCTCCTGCGATTGAAAAAGCTCACAGATAGTTGTGGAAGGGATGGGACATCAGATTTCCTGGCCCTAAATGGCGTTCCTATTGGCTTCCGTTATCTATGTTCAGGGCACTCAATCCGGAAGTCATTTGTGGGGGCCCTTGATAGAGCTGGGTTCAGTGTCTGTTAGGACCACCGGGAAGCTGGGGCCAGCGTGATGGTTAAACTCTGGTCTTGTGGTTCTACAGATTTTGTAGATCTGGAGTGGAGCCCACCCGAATCCAGGCACCAAAGTGGCTCAGTAGGTCCCCACCTTAACTCTGGGGCTCTAAACTCCCGGAGAGCCTGGTCTGGTCTGCGCTGGGGTGGACGAGGATGGGAGCTGGCCACGCCTCTGGCTTGCCTGGCCTTTCCTCCCAGCAAGCACTCCATCTACCTCTCTCTAACCTGACTTTTGAAGTTCAAGGTCCCAGAATTGTCATCTGTGTCTGTTTTATTTGGTCTCTTGTGTCTTTTTGTTGTAGAGACTCTGTGTGTAGGGGATCTGCCTCTCCTGCCATTTTGCCGAAAGTCTCCGGGTTGACTTTTCTGGCACCCTGTGGTTCTGTGGCGGCCAGCCCTGGGGGTCCACACACTTCCTATAAGAGACCAGAGAGCAGGTGCTCTCCGCTCTGCAGGCTCCATGGCTTTGGCTGTAGATTCTGAACTCACCAGCAGCAGCCTTAGCGTGTGCGGCACTAGTTCTGATCTAGAGCACAACTCTTTGTGGTGGGTGGGCTACAGTCGGCCGGCCAGCCCCTTCAGGCGGGCGGGCGGTGGTGATTGGATTAAAGTGAGTGACAAGCAGGTGAGCAGGTGTGCAGCCAGACCCCGCCCACAACGCCTTTCTGCTCTTCACCATGCCAGGTCTGCAGTCAGTGGGGAGAAGAGCAGGACCTAGTGCCTGCCTAATGGGAACCTGGTGGTGTAGTCATTAAGCACTTGACTTCTAACAGAAAGATCTGCAGTTCGAATCCACTCAGGAGCTCCATGAAAGGCTCTGGCAATCTGCTCCCATAAAAATGACAGCTAAGAAAACCCCATGGGCAGTTCCACTCTGTCCTATAGGAGGGTCCCCTTGAGCCAGAGCCCACTCAACAGTACCCAGTAAAACAAGTGCCTGCTGGGGGCGGGGGGAGGGGCCGGGGGAGGCTCAGTAGTAGAATTCTTGCCTTCCATGCAAGCGCGGGTCCATTCCCAGCCTGCCTGTCTGTGGAGGCTGTCAGACTGTACAAGCTTCAGAGAGAAAGAAAGGCAGAGTAGGAAGAAAGGGCTGGCTATCTACTTCCAAACATCAGCCAGCAAAAACCTTATGGATCACAAGTCTGATCAACAACCGATCACCGGCTGGCCCAGGACCGCATTCCGTTCAGTCACACTTGGGGTCACCGTGAGTCTGGGGCGTCTCCACGGGTGCAGCAGCTACAACAGTTAGAGGGAGAAGAAGGAAGGAAGAACTGCAGCTTCACACCAGGAGGACGAGGGTGGGACTGACCACAGCCAGGGAGGAGAAACCTGTTTAGGGAGGAAATGAGTTTCAGCATCCTGGTGCCTGCGGGGCATGGTGGGAGAAGTGTCTTCCAGGCGGAGTGGGAGTGTGTGTGTTCCAGGAGGGAGAAGCCTTGATGGGGGCAGGAGACAGGCTCCTTCCTTCATGGCCTCCATGGAAATAGAGCCCATGAGGCCCAGAGCACAGAGGTGAGGGAGGGTCCAGGAGAGTGGGCAAGACCTACCACAGAGGGACATTGCTTGTGCTTGGGGCCGACCCTGCTGGGGAACGGGGAGAGCACCAGGGGTCTGCACCAGGTCCACCCTAGGGGAGCATGGGAAGGAGGGTTGCTGACCTGACCGAGTGGACACCTGAGCATCCAAGTCCTCACTGGAGGGGGTGGGGGGAGGGGCTTACACTTGCTCTACTGGCCGCTGTCCTGAAACCAAGAATGGGAGTGACAGGGTGTCACTGGTGGTGGGTGGTAAAGGCAGGTGGTGGCAGGGGGCTCCCAGTGAGGCGGCCACTGAGTCACCCTCAGATCTGTCCGTAATGTTACCTTGTCCTCTGGCACCCACACCAGCCTGACTCCTCTGCCTGAGAATCCTCTTCCCAGCAGGACAAAGGAGGTCCACCTTTGCTTGGCAAAGTCAGACATATGGCCAGCTTTCTGAACAAGAGCCAGCCGGAGTCCTGCTTAACTGAAGCCGAAGAACTAGTTATGGCCCGAGGTGGCGGCCATGCCGCGTGCTCCAGACCCGAGTGACCTTTCTCGTCTCTCCTGTGCACAGGTCCAGCCCAACTCCCACACCGATGCCCGCGCCGCCTCCTGACCCCCCGGATTGGAATGATTCTATGCACGCCCTGCGGATAAGTGTGGGGGGCCTGCCAGTGCTGGCCTCCATGACCAAGGCCGCAGACCCCCGCTTCCGACCACGCTGGAGGGTAATTGTGATCATCTTTCTGAGCGTAGCCGCACTCTGGCTGGTCTACGCCCACCGCTCCCCTTCCGTCAGGCCCCCAGCACCCAATGCCCACAACTGGCGGCTAAGCCCAGGCTCCACCGAGCACTACAACGATACCTACCCGCTCTCCCCGCCCCAGAAGACACCCGGTGGCACCCGCTACCGCATCGCCGTCATCGCAGACCTGGATACGGAGTCAAGGGCCCAAAAGGAGCACACCTGGTTCAGTTACCTGCAAAAGGGCCACCTGATCCTATCAGACAGCGGGGACCAGGTGGCCGTTCAGTGGGACGCAGACCACGAGGTCCTGGAGTCCCACCTGGCGGAGAAGGGGCGTGGCATGGAGCTCTCGGATCTGATTGTCTTCAACGGGAAGCTCTACTCCGTGGATGACCGGACGGGCGTGGTCTACCAGATTGACGGCACCAAGGTTGTGCCCTGGGTGATCCTGTCAGACGGTGACGGGACTGTGGGCAAAGGTGAGCCGCCCTGCCAGAGGAGGCTGCCTGCTTGCTGTGTGACCTGCGCAGGCTTGTGGTCACGTGCCCCCTCCCTGTCAGCCCCCTGCGCCAGCCTCCGTCTCCCTGGGGCCAGCAGCCAAAAGGTGGAACTCAAGCCCTTCCCAGGTGCCTTTGACCCTCAGAGAGCAGTTCTCCCAGCATGTGTCTTAGGAGCCATGCCCAAGGGCTGCCATCGGTTCCTTTTCTGTGTCTGTACCTCATTCATGCTGGCGGCTACCTTGGAAGCCTCAGTGGCAGACTTCAGTTCAGTATGAACTTTGGAAACCCAGCTGAGGAGGGCAGGTCTGCCCTGGATGGGGATCCGACCCCTAAGACCAGCAGGGTGGGGGACAGAACTACCAGAGGGGACCCAGAGGCTGCCAGGGCAGTGACAAGAGACTGTAGGAAGCTAATGTGTGGTCCACACTCTAGTTGGCCCTTCCAGGAAGCTGGTCCCCCTGCAGCCTTTTGTTTGCAGGTAGGGTGGCCCTCCCCTAATGATGTAAGCACCTCAATGTTTGCCCAAGGCTGGGCTTCTCAGATGTTGGAGGAAATGCCGGCCCCCCTCTCCCTGCCTGTCCTGACCCTCAGGTAGAAAACTAAGGGGCCTTTGAAGTTGTCCCTTGGTGAGGTCCTGGGCAGTGCTGATCTCTCACCTGGCAAATGGCTAAAGCCCTCCTGTGGTCCCTGGGGCCCACCACGGGTCCACCAGAACTCCTGAGAGGTTCAGGGCACTACCACCATCTCGGGGGAGGTGGGGTGTAGTCTCCAGGAAGTGTCCGAGTACCTGGGAAAGCAAGCAGGGAGTAGGGACAGGTGAGGAGACATTGGAAGAACCAGAATTCCCACTCAGCCCAAACCCGTGGCCTAAGTATTAGGCTCCCATTAAGGAAACCAGTCCACGGCTTCCTAGTAACACCACTGGTAGACATGAAGAATAGGCTCTTGTTTGGGAGCCCCCTCTTCCCAGCAGCTGGTGTCTGAGTGACCCCAGAGAGAGGCCAGCCAGTCTGCTCTGCTGTGAGTACCTCAAAGCGCTGGCCTTGTCCATTTCTCTAGAACCTGAGCATGATCCTGGGTGGAGGGGGACATCTTGAGAAACTGGATATGGGGAGTGGGGGAGATCCCTAATAACTTGGGGTTCAGGAGAGAATCACCAGAACTTGGGGTTCATTAGATCTCTGAGAACTTGGCATTCATGAGAGATCAAGGATTTAGGGGATCAGAAAATCCATGGGAATTTGAGGTACAGGGGAGAGCCATGAGAACTTGGAGTCAGAGAAGAGCTGCGAGAACTCGAGATTCTGGGTTTAATTTACAAAGATTTAAAGCTCAAAGGAGATCTACAAGAACATGAGGTTCCATGTAGACCCACAGGAAGGGCGGGAAGATGATGTCATAGCAGTAGAAGAAATCTTTACTAGTTGTTACAGAGACTGTTCCCATGGAGAATTCTAGAAAGAAAAATTCAGTCTGTCTCGGAAGGTGGGTGCCAATCTGCACTAGTTCCTGTGAGTGGCCTCCATTTCTGACTTCTGGCCGTCCCAGGCTGAAGGGTCCCCTCAGTGGCCTGAGCAGACCAGTGGCAGCTCTAGGTCTGGGTCTCAGGTGTCCTGACCCCTGTCGCCTCCAGGCTTCAAAGCGGAGTGGCTGGCTGTGAAGGACGAACGGCTGTATGTGGGCGGCTTGGGCAAAGAGTGGACCACTACCACGGGTGAGGTGATGAACGAGAACCCCGAGTGGGTGAAAGTGGTGGGCCATAAGGGCAACGTAGACCACGAGAACTGGGTGTCCAGCTACAATGCCCTGAGGACCGCCGCTGGCATCCGGCCACCAGGTAAGAGACAAGGCTGTGGGCGGGCAGTCAGACCGTGCTCTGGGGAAAGAGGGCTGTAGGCGACCAGCACAGTGAGGACCGTGTGTGACTAGGAGAGAGGACTGTGTGTGTGTGCCCAGCACAGTGAGGACTATGTGTGACTAGGAGAGAGCACTGTGTGTGTGTGTGTGTGACCAGCACTGAGAGGACTTTTAACCAAGGTCAGTGTCCTGTGAGTACCTTCACAGGAGGTTTGCATCCAGAGGCACTGATTTCCTGCTTTGAAAAGATGCAACGCGGCTGCAACAGTGAGCTCAAGCCAAGCGTCAACTGTGAGGGTGGTGCCGGACCGATCAGTGTTCTGTACTATGTGAGGCCGGTGTGCATCGGAAATGCCTCGACAGCACCTAACTACAACGTAGGACAGAAACACACGACAGGGTTTCCAAGGTTGTAAAGGCTTGTGAAAGCAGACTGCCACAGCTTTCTCTATGAAGCTGCTGCTGGACTTGAGCTGCAGAACTTTGGTGCGCAGTCAAGTGCTTGACCACTGCGCCACCAGGGCTGCCCGGGCTTCCTGCTATAGGTTTGGGAGTCGCTGGGGGTGTAAACTCTGCTTCTAGCTACAAGGCCTGTTATCGGCTGAGAACCCAACAGAGTTCAGCTGCTCCAACATACACTGTGGCCACTGGACCGCAGCTGGCTGATCTGCTGGCCGCCCCACCCCTCCCAACTCCCGGCTGTCTGCAATGGGGGTTCTGGATGGAAGATGTAGCTCACCCCTAACCCTGGATGTGAACAGATACTTGATTTCCAGCCCAGGGACACCCTCCCCACTCCCCCCAACTTTGCTGACTTGTGCCCCTCCCTAGATGTGCCCCCCTGTGGCACCCAGTTAGTGTGGAGGAGACTGAGATCTGTAAGTTAGGCCGCTCTTGGGGGCAGTGGGGCACGCCCACCTCTGCTCATCCAGGGGCAGATGGAAATGGGGAGGTATGAAGGTTTAAATGGAGAGGTATGAAGGTTTAAATGGAGAGGTATGAAGGTTTAAATGGAGAGGTATGAAGGTTTAAATGGAGAGGTATGAAGATATTAATGGGGAGGTATGAAGATATAAATGGGAAGGTATGAAGGTATAAATGAGGAGGTATGAAGGTATAAATAGGGAGGTATGAAGATATAAATGGGGAGGTATGAAGGTATAAATGGGGAAGTATGAAGGTATAAATCAGGAGGTATAAAGGTATAAATCGGGAGGTATAAAGAAAGGGTGAGGGAGTCCACGTGGTACAGTGGCTACATGCCCAGCTGCTAGCTACAAGGTCAGTGGTTCAAACCCACCAGCCACTCCACGGGAGGAAAATGAGGCAGTCTGCTCTGGGAGAGATGACAGCATCGGAAACCCCACGGGGCAGTTTCCTGACAGGGTCTCTGTGAGTCAGTCGGCATCAACCTGATTCTGAGACTGTGTTTACCCTGACCAGCAGCATTAGGACTAGACTATCTGAGAACTTGTTTGAAATGCAAATGTTGGGGGCCTTACCCCAGACTTTGAGCCCTGGGGGTGTAGTGGTCAAGCACTCCTGTGTAAACTGAAAGGTTGGAAGTTGGGAAACCCCCTCCATGGGATAAAGATGAGGCGTCTGCTCCGGGAACAGTTACCGCCTTGGAAGCCCAGTGGGCAGTTCTCTCCTGCAGGGTCACTGTGAGTCAGAACCGGCTCAGTGGCAGTGGGTGTAAGGGAGGGATGGACGGTGACGGGCTTCAGGGCCAAGGGGGAGGGCCAGTGGGGTGGGCATCACACGAGGGGGTGCAGGAGGCTGCCGGGGCCTGCTCACTCGGTGTGTTGTGTCTGCAGGCTACCTCATCCACGAGTCGGCCTGCTGGAGCGACACACTGCGACGCTGGTTCTTCCTGCCACGCCGGGCCAGCCACCAGCGCTACAGTGAGAAGGAGGACGAGCACCGTGGCACCAACCTGCTGCTGAGCGCCGCCCAGGACTTCAGTGACGTGTCCGTACGCCGCGTCGGGGAGCTGGTCCCCACGCACGGCTTCTCCTCCTTCAAGTTCGTGCCCAACACCGACGACCAGATCATCGTGGCCCTCAAGTCCGAGGAGGACAGCGGCAAGGTGGCCACCTACATCATGGCCTTCACACTGGACGGCCGCTTCCTCCTACCAGAGACCCGGATCGGTAACGTGAAGTACGAGGGAATCGAGTTTATCTGAAACAAACACGAGTAAGATGCTGAGCCGAGCCGCCGCCGCTGCTGCCAAGTGCAAGGTGATGAGCTCCCTCAGGACCCAAATTTTATGAAACCGGACGGAGGACTGTATTTTTATGTGGGTTTTTTATTTTGTTTGGTCTGTGCCTGTTGGAGAGGTCTCTAGACCCTGGCTGAGGACGGGACACTGGGAGTCCTTGGCACAGGGGGCTTCTTGACACTGCCCTCTGGTGGTAGCCATTGATCATTGCGTCTTGACGCGGGGGCCCCTGCTGTTTTCAGCGCCAACTTGTCCTTTGTTCTGTCTGCACCCCTTCCTTTCCCTCCCACGCATTCCTCTGTTCAATAAATATTTATTATTGAGTACCTACTAGGTGTCAAAGGAGCTCTGGTAGCGTAGTGGTGACGAATCAGGCTGTGAACCGCAAGGTCAGCAGTTCGAAACTACCAGCTGCTCCATGAGGCTTTCTGCTCCCGTGAAGATTTACAGCCTCGGAAACCCTGTTCAGGGTCGTGATGGGTCGGAACCGACTCGACGGTACTTAACAACAACAACACTAGGTGTCAAGTACTGAGCCTGCCCTCTAGGGCTCCAGGCCACCCCCAGTCCCTGGGGACAGGACCAGCGTTCCCATGACTGGAGACCTGTAGTCTCCTCTAGGACAGTGTGCGGCCGGACAGGCTCTCGAGTATCACCATGTCACAGATGTTCATGAAGGTTGTGTTCTTAACGGAGCCGCCTTGTTGCACCACCCGGAGTAAAGTCCACTAGCAAACTGGTTCCCCCAGAGCCAGGGTTCTGTCACCAAGAGGCCCCATGTGGGAAGGAATGTTTACAGTATTCTAAGTCCTTAGACTGCTAACCACAAGAACAGAGGTTCAAACCCACCAGCTGCTCCTCCGAAGTCCGATACAGGGTCACTGTGAGTCAGAACCAACTTGACGGCATCTAACAACAGTAGGAAGTCCTTGACCAGCAGGTACAAGGAAGTGGAAACAATGCATTTCTCTACAACTCTCAGCAAGTGGCATGCCTCTAGCAAGTCTTGTGGGTGACCCGAGCCCCAGGTTCTGACCACCTGTGTGCGACCAGTCCTGGGGTTCCTTCCAGACCCTTGTTTCTCCCTAGTCCAGGGAAGTTCTGCAGCCTCCCCCCAGGGAGACTCTTCACACACTTTGGGCTTATCGCTGCCCCTGCCCTCTCTGGTCCTTGTTGCAGGTTTTGTCTTCTCTTGACGCTCTTGGAAAAAAGCAGAGAGGGCTGGGGACAGAGGTTAGCCACGACCAAAGTCAAGAAGGGGCGTTTTCATCAGTCCCCAGCGTTCCTCCTCAAAGACGCTGCCTCACCCTGTGTGACTTCTCATGGTGACAGGCCAAGCTACCAGGTTCTGACAATGCACTGAGCCCCGGCCCACTCCTGCCAGAAACGTCAGCACAGCCCCTGGGGACCCCTGGACAGGACCCACAGCATCAGAAGAGAAATAAGCTGCCGAGTGTGGCACCTCCAGCCAGAACTCAGTCCCATGGGCACGGCCCGGATGAGCCCAGCTTTCCCAATACCACCTGGCTGGGCCCTCCTACCCGGCTTCTACCTAAAACCAGATGAGGTGGGGTGAGGACAGTCAAGGATCCGAAAGCATCGTCCTGGGTGCCCGGGTGGAGTTCCCACGGTGGAGTCAGACATCGTTGTTGGAGGTCATTCCATGTTTGGACCATCGTCTTTCTTTCCCTCCACCTTTGCTGTGAGCTTGCAGACTGTTTACCCTGCGACCGGATCTGTCTGTCTCACAACAATAAAACCTCCCATCTACTGCTCTGTGTGTGAAGGGCGCCACCTTGCGGGTACGGTGACAGGAGTGAGAGGCCAGACAATCACAAAGTGGTTCTGGGATGTCGGCTGTGCCGTGGGAGTCTTGGGAACCTCTCTGTAGATGGTGATAGTCCCTAAAGGCCCACGCAGGCTCCTGCAGAACAGCGTCTAGTTAGGGTGGGCTCTGCCTCAGACCCCTAATTTAACCTCAGTGAAGGAGCCCTGGTGGCGTGGTTAGTGATTGGGCTGCTAGCCCCAGGTCAGCGGTTCAAATCCACCTGATTTTCTAACCAGCCGCTCCACAGCCTGCTCCCATAAAGATGAACCACTCAGGAACCCTCTGAGGCAGGCCAGCTCTGTCCATGAAGGTCACTGTAAGTCGGGGTCAACTCGACTGCAGTGGGTCTGGGTGTTGATGCTTCCTTACCTCATGGGTAACACAAAGTTGGTAACAGCCAACAAACAAGGTTGTACCATCGAGTCAGTACCCACTCACAGCGACCCTGTGCACAACAGAACCAAACACTGCCCGGTCCTGGGCCAACCTCACAATTGCTGCCACGCTTGAGCCCATTGATGCTGCCACTTTGCCACTGCATCTCACTGGGGGTCTTCCTCTTCTTTTCTGACCCTCCACCTAACCAAACATGATATCTTTCTCCAGCGACTGGTCCCTCCTGATAATATGTCTGACGTATGAGAGACGAAGTCTGGCCATCCTGTCTTCCAAGGAGCACTCTGGTTGCACTTCTTCCAAAATGGATCTATTGGTTCTTTGGGCAGCCCATGGCACTTTCAATATTCTCCTCCAACACCATAACTCAAAAGCATCAATTCTTCTACAATCTTCCTTATTCAGTGTCCAACTTTCGCATGCATATGAGGTTACTGAAAATACCATGGCTTGGGTCAGAGGCACCTTAGTCCTCAAGCTGACATCTTTGCTCTTGAACACTTTAAAGAGGTCTTGTGCAGCAGATTTGCCTAATGCAATACGTCATTTGATTTCTTGACTGCTGCTTCCATGAGTGTTGATGGTGGATCCGAACAAAATGACCATCTGTGGGCCCAGCATTCCCTGGAGATCTCCGTGCATCTTGGCACCAGTCTTCCCCTGGGTCTAGGAGCTTCCCAGTGCAAGGACCCCAGCTCCCAAGGACAAACTCCACTCCAGGCTTGGAAACCCTATGGGGCAGTTCTATTGTATCCTATAGGCTCTCTCACTATGAGTCGGAATTGGCTTGGAGGCAATAGGTTTTGGTTAACCTAAAAGGTGTGATCCTGATTTAAGATGCTCTGGGAGCGTAGTGGTTACAAATCGGGCTGCTAATCTCACGGTCAGCAGTTTGAAACTACCAGCTGTTCCATGGGAGAAAGATGAGGTTTTCTGCTCCCGTAAAGATTTACAGCCTGGGAAATCCTGTACAGGGTCGCTATGAGTTGGAACCGACGCCACGGCACCTAACAACAACAACAACATAGAAATCAATGGAACAGCAAGGGAAGTCCAGGAATAAAGTCCTGCGTATGTGACCAGTTGATCTTTGATGTTAGTGATGAGGTAATTCATTCCACGGGTAAAGGTAGTTTGCCTTCTAGTGCTTCTGTGACAGAAAGAGCTCAGTGGACGGCTGTACCAACGAGAAATGATTCCCTCACGGTTAGGAGACTAGTGCCGGCTCTGGAGGAAGGGCCTTGTGCCCTCTGAGCATCCGTGGACCCAGGATTCCCTGGAGATCCCCATGTGTCGCGGCATTAGTCTTCCCCTGGGTCTAGGAGCTTCACAGGGCAGAGACCCAGGCCCAAAGGACACACGCCGCTCCCGGCTCTTCTTGTTTGGTGGTAGTAGGTCCCTCTCTCTCTCCTCACTTCTCTCGCCTTTGATGTCTTAAAAAGTAAACAGTGTTACATGTCACACCCCCTGGGAAAATCCCTTACATTGAACCAATCAGGGTTGTGATGGGACTAAAGGTATTGTTGTTGTTAAGTGCCATTGAGTCGGTTCCGACTCATAGCGACCCTGTAAAGGAGCAGCTGGTGAGTTTGAACCACTGACCTTGTGTTTCAAACCAGCCTTGAGGTTGAATGTTTACCCTACAGCATCACCCCAGGACTCCAAGGGAATTGCAGCCTTCCCTTAATCCTCTTAATGGTTTATCATCTATGATCACATCATGGGACACCCTCACATAACTGCCACGTCACACCATGATGTCACTGCCAAGCCACGGCCCAGCCACTTTGCCACATCCTTTGAGGGGGACACAGTTCAATCTGTGAGCACAAAACAACAAGAAGACCACCACTTCTCCACAAGTGATGGTGGTCTTGTTTTGTTCTCTCTAGTCGATTCCGACTCATAGCAACCCTGTACAGGGGGTCCGAGACCGTACATCTTTCCAGGAGCAGAAAGCTTCATCATTCTCCCTTGGACGACTGGTGGGTTTGAACTGCCAACCTTGCAGTTAGCAGTCCAGTGCTTATCTCACCGTGCCACCAGCCCTCCTTGGCTTACCTCTCCACACACACACACACACACAATGAGTGTAAATCAATCGTGAGCCTAAAGCAAGAGCAAAAACTACGGAAATCCTTAAAGAACAGACAAAAGACTGTCCTTGTGGCCTCGGGTTGGGCAGAGATTTCTTAGCTATAACTTAAAAAGACATCTAAATTCAAAACGTTTGTTCTTTAGAGGATACCAAGGAGCTCTGGTAGCGTAGTGGTTACCAATCGGGCTGCGAACTGCAAGGTCAGCAGTTCGAAACTACCAGCTGCTCCATGAGGCTTTCTGCTCCCGTAAAGATTTACACCCTCAGAAACCCTGTGCATGGTCACTATGAGTTGGAACCGACTCCGCGGCACATAATCACCACCAAGACAATGTCAAGACAAGTCACAGACCAGGGGAAACACATTCAAGTCACACATCTGTTAGGGAACAGATGTACTCAGAACACATAAAGAATTTACACAGCTCAATAAGAAGAAAAGTCCATTAAAAAAATAATGTGTGCAAAATGTAAGTGGACACCTCACCAAAGAAGATTATGAATAGTATTTGACCAGCTGCTCATGCCTAGTCCTCATTAAAACCACTGACCATAGAAGCAGACTGCCTCATCTTTCTCCTAAGAAGCAGCTGGTGGGTTTGAATCCCTGATTCTCGGGTTGGCATCTGAGCATGTAGCCAT